GCTTCAATCGAACCTTATTGACAGAAATAGCAAATAAATTGCGAATTGTAGCAACCTCTTTTCATGATCATGACCTATTGATGTGTATTTCAAAGGGTGCATCATCAATATGAATCCGTACAAGCATCGGTATTCACACTAAGTGTGAATTTGTTGATCTAACCGCTACAACCATGCGTGTAAATTTGTTGATCTAACCGCTACAACCGTGTTTGCATGCAAGCGTGAATTTGTACAGTTGAAAAATCTCTCATTCGAAACCGTTTAACTTGGTCCAGTTGGTGGAGCTAAACCTAGGAAGGGTCCTACACCACATCTAAAACTCGCAATCCATTTTTCTTCACAAACAAAACATTCTAATAAGTCCAATCAAACTCATTTAAGCTTAACCTGCATTCTTAATATACTTTTCGGAAACCAGGTCCACTGCCCTGCAGCTTCAACCACATAAAAGAAAGTCCACAACCAGATAGATGCTCCCCATTCCGAATAAAGGTTTGAACAAAAGCAGATCACAGAGATCAATTGATCCTCTGAGGCTCTGCTTTTAAAAAAGCACGTACCATGGATTCCAAAATGGTTCAAAGTTCAAACAGAACAGTCCACAATTTGGCGTCATGCGTAAGCAATGTGGGTAGCAGAAGATAAAAGAAAAGGCAGAATATGAACTGAAACACAAATGGTATATATACACTGTAAATGACAGTTAGATCGACTCAACAGCAACTTCCATTTGTACAGATTCGCTTCATAAGCCGCTCATTGAAACTCCAAAACATCTCAAATGGAAACAGAATGAAAATTTTCCAACAATAGACTCTTTACTTTTTACAACCCAAGAGGTGGTGTGGTAGAAGAACACAGACAAGACCCTATTCTCAACCAAATCCCACCCCCTCTCGTAACCTCTCCTAAACATGATCTATGAACCCCTTTTATTATTTGGTTAACATCTCATTCACTTACATGACACTGACACATTTCATTTACACAAATCCCTCAAACGTATTTACAAACAAGGCAGAAGGATCTCCATAGTTCGCTGGCCGAAAATTTCAAAATTTCCTCTCATGCTATCAAGTATCGTGGCTGTCGATAGAAAACTTTAGCTAAAGCTTTTCCTATTTACCTTCATTGATTGAATTACGCTCTATGCCAGGGTAGGGATGCTGCAATTACGTCGATCCCTGTCCAGGCAATCAAACCCCTCAACCCTCACTGCTGGTTTGCTCCCAAAATTGGCCCGAACAAAGCTTCCTTTCCTTGCAGAAGTTGTTGGAGACGGCGATAGGCCCGACGGGTGAGGGGTTGGTGACAGTGGCGAGGATGGGGTGAGCTTCTCATCCCCAAATCGGGCGTCCTGAATTAATGGGTTAGCTACTCTGCTCGGCGGCGACCCGCTGAAAAATGGGTGCGGCGAGGCTATTTCTGTACATGAAAATTGTTCAACACCAAAAGAACCCTGCACAAAATCCAACATGAACAAACTAATTAAGATTGATTTTTGTGTAGAAACATAACCAGGATTGAATTTCTGACTGGACCATAAATTCCAATTTAGTTAGTATTCTGAGCTTAATTTAGTACGATAACTGCACATCAGGAAATGTTACGTACCTTGGTGAGGAGGTTGTCCAAAATATCAGACCCTGCTTTTGAATCATAGAGCTCCGCTTGGTGGCTGAAAATCAATTAAATAAAGGATTAAAACCGATATATAAAAAAAATTGGATAATTTGAAATCCTAAACAAAAAAAAGTAAAATTGAGAATCCTTACCCGAGCTGCCATCTGAGAGATCTGACGGGATCGTGATGAGTGGCGTTGAGGAGGCCAAAACGGCGAGGTTTGGGACAAACGACTGAGTCTCTTGAACAAGTCCGCATCTCTTCGCAAGCTGAGAGGGCGTTCCCTTGCTGAATCGCACAGTGATTCATTCTTTTTCCAAGCTTTGAGACGACAACGTAAAACCTGTTCAAACAAATCACTATTTATTACAAATCATCATCTTAATTTTGAATTCAGGGAGTCATTTCCGCAATAGATCTAAAACGTGCGTATTAGGTGTGAACTGAACAGATCTGATCTGATCTGATCTGATATCACGGCCAGTCAATTGAACAGATAGGAACAGAATTTGGAAATTCCCTTAAGGTTTTAACAGAAACTAAAAGGAAAACAAAAACAAAAAATTAGCAAACGAAAAAAAAAAAAACAAGGCGAGGCATACCTCTAAGTTTGAGTGTAGAGCTTAGCTGCTAGGCTTCTTCTGTAGAGAAATCTAAATATATTGCTACAGAGTTTTCATAATAGAAGGAAAACGGAAACAAAATTAGGCGAGAGGTAGGGGCAGAGACAGAAAAGGAAAGGGAAGGGAAGAAGGTTAAGAAAGGATGGCTTCCACCAGATTTATAGAGAAAAAAGAGAGCCAACAAAGAATCAGAAAAAAGTGTAGTGAAAAATAATGAAATCAAAAACTTGGAGAGAGAGAAAAGAGGCTTGGGTATTGGGCAACAGGCTAACAGGTTAACAGCGCAGCTAGAGAGAGAAAGAGAGAGAGAGAGAAAGTAGAAAAGGCAAAAGGTGAGGGGTCCGGGGGTGTGCCAGAGGAGAGCGAAGACCGACAGAGGCTCCCACAGTTTCTCTGATTTGAGATTTTTTTTATAAAATTATTCAACGTGTGTTTAAATAGTGATAATTATTTTATTTTATTTTATTAAAATATCTTTCTTGGGGTTATCAAGTTGTTATGAAATGAGAAATGGGTAATATTTTAGTGCTTCACGCAGGCGGTGCTTCCCGCGAGAACTCACATCGATTTCGGCACCAAACCCATCGAAATCAACTTTACTGTTGCCGTTTTCTTTAACTTGCAACCCCCACGTGTCACGTGCATCCACCATTTAAGTTGATTTTTTTTTTTGTAGAAAGTGATGCTTCATTCATGTTCATAGACAAAAATAAATTCCTTTTCGCCATCCATGCGACAAAAATATTTTTAAAAATTTCTCCGATCTCTGAAGATATTTCATTTTTATTTAAGAATTAAGATAACGTTATGGAGCCAAAATGTAAACTAATTGTTACAACTTAGATTTTTCTAACAAAGATGATAAGGTGTATATATTTCCAGTCTCGGTTAAGACAAAGTGGTGATGGGCATCATTGCCTAACTTTTTTCTGCCACAACAATTGGTCAGTAAAATATGATATCCCCCAAGATCCTTCCCGCCATAAATATCCCCATCCCAACTGCGTTGATACCGGAGACTTTTGATTAATTTTTATTAAAAAATACAAAAAAAGGGACAACGAAATGGTGCGGAGCTCGAATCAAATTTTCAGAGTTTAGACTTTGGGCTGCAAAGGCTTTCTTCTCTTTTGCTGCTTTTTGTCACAAGATTCCAATCTGGGCCACGTTTTGAATGGATGGGCTATATACAATTTACCTCTCCCACTTTTAATAAGAAATTTGAACATAAATTGTGATTTGATCTAATTACATTATTAAAAGCCTAACAATTACAGCCGTGGGTGACGCGTATCCATTTTGGGAACGAAACGACGCATTTGGGCACGTTTAACACGAATGAGGTTCTCTTGTAGTGTTGTGGGAGGAGGTGGAGCAAATTGAGTTGACAACTAGCAAAATCATATTACCGAGACTACCTTGGACCCGCTATCAATTTCCTAAGATCTTGATTGCGACGCGTTTTGATCTCAGGGACCGGAAAATCAATCCTCCCACCACTTCAATGTCATTGGGATAGCTGGCTGGCAAGCTGTAACCATAATCATTTCGTCTTTCAATGAAAGCTACCCAAACTTACGCATATGTAAATTATTGTTATGCTTTTTATCACAAAACATTCATAAAATTATAAAATTGCTTTTTTTTTTCTCGAGCTAATTCGTGCTGTCATGTTCCGTCCATCCAAAAATATGTTACATTGATGACATGACACATACACAACTTTATGCTCTAATAGTTTTGGACTTCTCCTCTTTCTTTGGCATTGAAAATTCCGGTTTACAAGTTTGGCTGTTGTCCTTTGTATTTTCCAAAAAACAAAATTGTTGCAAGTTGTGCGTAGGATGAGGCAGCATTTAAGTTGCAGGTTAGTTAGCGGTCCATTTCTTATCCTCCATGAAATGAGATGAGCAACGACGCAGCACTCTCTGGACTTTCCATTTTCAGGTATGGCCGAGAGACACAGTTTTCTTAATCAACGTGACCAGCCCCCAAAAGCAAAAGATTAACATCATTATCATCGTATGAACAATAAAGAAAGTAATGATCATCAAACTCACATTCGACCTAACCTAACAGCAAACATGTTATGTTGATCTTCACATTATAATTTTTAATTAAATCTTTCCTAAATAGATCGAGTAAGTTAGCTGAAGCTGATTTGACTCAAAAGTAAAGGCTCCACATTTTATGTAAAAAAGCAAAATATTGGTGGGCTTGACAGCCATGATTTCACATGCTCTGTCTAAGCAGATGACGGACTCAAATGACTTCAAATCTAAACTTTACCATCATTTTGGCTTTGGTCCCTGCCCCTGCTTTTTGGACGAAAATTCCAAATCATTGCACAAATTGGCGGAAAATTGCGTGCCTCCTCAACCCCAATTCTCATCATCAGTCACCAAAACCAGACATTGACGGACATCCCCGTCCCATTGTTGACTTTAATGTCACAATTTGGACGCTTCCAAATTGAGATGCAATGCAAGAGACTTGTACATCGCAACGTCAATGCCACAAAATATAAATAAGTCAATTGAAATATATTTTAAATCAGTGGCAATTTCTCCCTAAAGAAGGAATAATATAAGGCTCAATTTTATTAATCACCTCACTGTAAAAATAGGATCTCCACATCGCATCTAGATGTGTGTGGCTTGGTACCGTCCTTTACTTTCCTAGGGCAGGTTAAATGAGCAAGAAACACTTAACTATAACCAAAATCTAAGGTTGGGGAAGGAAGGAGATTGAAAACATTACTTCTCACATTAATATATGAAACAATTGCCAGAAGTTTGTCTGTTATACCAAAAAAAGGTAAAGTGATAATAACAGGAAAGAAGATTAATATGCCTCCAAAAATATGTTACCATGTACTTCTTCACATACAGTGTCATTAATGGTGGCTATGAAGTTGTCTAAGCAGGTGCTGACTCAGCGGCAGCGGCAGCAGCAGCCCTCTTCTTTGCGAAGTATTCATCAGCACGTGCAAGATTTTTAGCAACTGATGGCTTTACCCACTTCTTCCGACCAGGCAATACAGTGAGGTTACAGCCAGCAGCCTCAAGTTTCTCCTTAGCCGCTGCTGAAAAGGCACGAGCCTTTATATCCAGCTTCACACTGAGCTCCCCATCACCAAGAATCTAGAAAGAAAGAAAAAAAGAGCCTTAAGTTCTAGTATGAAAATATGCTTAATGAGCAGTGCACACTGATAACTGCCTAAACCCGTATGTACGTGCAATCCCCTCATCAAACTTGGCAATTATTGGGCCATATCAAGCTTGAAGTGGCCCTAATGCTTCTACTACATTTTTATTATTCAATAATTTTTTTTCCCACAAAAGCCTCAATCTATAGTTCAGACATGTCAATTGTTAAGGATGTATTACAGCTGCTGAATAAGGTGCAATTTATAAAATTCGAGAACAAAAGTAATATATTATCAATGGCACAAAAGCTGGATCATATATGTGGATTGGCCAAGTTTTGGCCAGAATGCATCACACTTTCGCATTCTTTAACCAAAAGGATCAGAAAATCAAGGAAATTAAGATTGTGTTTTTATAAGTAACAATTAAGTCAAATTTAAGAAGAAATATTGAATTGTAGAAAAACGCACAGATTGCTTAGTTATTTCAATTAAAAGAGGCTTGTTCATGCTGAAAGTTATATACTATCTGATATGCAACTATCGTTATAAAAATATATCCAAACTAGTAGAGGCCATACTTGTTCTCTGTAGTCTTCTGCATATGGTTTTAAGGATTGCAGTTCAATCCAGCTTCGATTAGTAAAACAGAGATATAGAGGCCATACTTTAAAGCAGCATATCACGAATGATATTTGAGTAGTTGAATGTTATGACAAAATGCTGGAACATCAATCTGACCTTAACCACCACAACATGTGTAAAGTAGACTAATTAAGCATTTACCTTCAAAGGGAGTTTCCTTTCTCTTCCTGATGGGTTTATCAAACCCCTGTCCTTCAAAGTTTGTAATGACACTTCTTCTCCTTCTTGAAACCCTGCTGCTTCAATGTCTTTCAAGTTCACAGGGACATACTTAGGCAAACCCGCCTGCATACCTTGTAAAAAAACAAAAAACAAACAGCAAAACAATTACTTTGAGTATGTCACTGAAGCATATTGGCATACACTTGGCGTGCAATTGCATATAAAGACAAGGTAATTATACCTCCGGCAATTCCCTTGAGTTTGGGAATTCGACGATAAAGCGGCATCTGACCGCCTTCAAAGCCCTTGCGCACGCCGGGTCCTGATCGGGACTTCTGGCCCCGCATACCGAACCCGCAGCTATTCCCTTGCCCAGCCGCTATACCTCTTCCCTTTCTCTTACCCTTCTTTCTGGACCCGGGTTGTGGGCCCAAGTTATCCAGCCTGAACCGCACATTGGTAACCGGAGCCCCGACTCCGGTCGACGCCGCCTTGTTCACAACCACTAGCCGCCTTCTTTCTGTAGTACTAGTCACCTTTAGGGACGGAATGCAACATAGTTTTTGTCCCAAGTTTCTCACATTTCCCTGTAAACATTGACATTATTATCAGCTCAGTTAGCAATTCATACAATTACACACACAGAGAGAGAGAGAGAGAGAGAGAGAGAGAGAGAGAGAG